TTTCGGCAGCCACTGCGTCCACGCTTCTCCCCATTTACTCTGACAATAGAAGCGAACATAAAAGTTCCAGGAAGTAATTGGGAAAAAGATTGGATCGCTGGGACAACAGTTTTCTTCGGCTGACGTGTCAACATGCATCGCGGATTCTTCATCAGAGATTTGAGCAGAAAGCAGTAGCAGAAGCAAGAAACACACGCACAGGAAGTTGCAGTATTTATAGGCTGCAGTCATTAATGCACACGCATGACAAATAACGACAATTAACGACAATTGCCCTTCTGCGTGTTGATGGCTTGATTACCGGCATGCGGGCCCTGACTTGTTGAACTTTCATCATGCGTGGTGGAATTGGACGTGATGCTTTCTCGGCCGTCTGGTTCCTCGGTGTTGGCGTAAGATGACGCGGTGGCCTGTGCGTTCACCAAACGGCCACTTGCTTTGGCCAAATTGAGGCTCAGCACCAAATAGGGATGGGGCAAGTCGTTGCCCTTGTTTGTGGACTAGGACCCGTGAACCACGACTCAAGCACTTCTCGGCTCACACGATTGTCATAAGTGTGCAATAGTGATAGTGTCCTATAAGCACTGCAACTTCCTGTGCATATGTTATCCACTTCTGCTACTGCTTTCTGCTCATATCTCTGATGAAGAATCCGCGACGGATGTCGAAATATCAGGCGAATAAAAGTGTTGCTCCAGCGATCCAATCTTATTCTCCATTCAGTTTGAAGTTGGAGCAGCGTGGGTAGGTGGGATGAGAATGAGGTGGCTGCGTTATGTGTACGTACTAGTGTATAAAAAATTCACGTACAAATACCCTCCGGACATTACGGACAGTGGTGAGTGCTGTTGATGTCTTGATTGGTTAGGTTAACTATAATTCAGAAGAGTATTTGGCGAGTGTACGCATATCTTCGATAAATTCCCGTCAGGCCAATACATTTATATGGGCAGGGGTATAAGTTGAGGCGTCTGCCTAGGAGTTCGCTTGCTGCATCCCCTTGAAAAAGGGTCTGTGAGGAATGGGGTATTTCTTTTCCGCAGTGGCTGTGGAGGGGTTTTTTCTCTCTCTATCATATTCTTTACGATGAATCGGTCCGGATATCCATTCTCTCTAAGCAGGTCCTGGATTTTCTGGAGCTCTGTTTCAATAGTGTCTGCCAAACATACTTTTCTGGCTCTGTGTTAAGCAGCGGACTAAGTTACGCTTCTGTTGCATAGGTACAAAACTGTTTAAGTTTGTTTGCTGTCCAGACCAGGTTTTCTTTCGATAAACGTTCCTTCGAACGCTACCGTCAGGTCTTCGGCTTAGGAGGACATCCAAGAAGGGAAGCGAATCTGCCGTCTCTACCTTTAGGTTGAACTTAATGGACCGATTCATCGTAAAGCATATGATGGAAAGAGAAACAAAATCCACCACATCAAACGTAGAAAAGAAGACCCTATTCCTCAAAGTCCCCTTTCAAGGGGATGCGACAAGCGAATTCCTAAGCAGATGCCTCAACTAAGCCGTATCAGAACCTTCCCAGCAGCGAAAGTTCAAGTGTTATTCTCAACCAACCCGGTCCTGCACGGCAAAGGTATAGATATGCTGCCAGCTCAGACCACTTCTATGTGCATCAGCTCATTTACTTGCTCCTGTGGAGCAGGTTTTATCCGTCGCACGAGTCGGCACTTATCCAAAAGAATACGGGAGCACCTTCCGGCATGGCTGAGCAAAGGTTAAGTCAGAAGCATCAGCAGTGCCCTCCTTGCCCACACGATTGACTCCCGACATCGTTTGGACCCCAACAAAGCCTTTAAGTTAATTTATAAGGTCCTGCCAAACTACCGTAAGTCCCTGGGTCAGCACCTGCCAGCAACAACAGAAGTGACCGCTATCAGGTTGCTGTAGCTGGCTTTCTGTGCACAAACAACCCTCGTGTAAGCTCCGCAGTTAGCGTGGCCCACAGTCACTTAGCGGCATGTACTCATCCGCGTTCTGTTCTGGAGTGTTTAGACTTAGGAGTAACTTCGATGTGGTCGTGGTCCAATACACCCGAGTCATTGACTACATTAGAACACTTGTGGCCAACATGCCTAGCATCCCACAACAATTCTCCAAAGAAGCTGTGATTTCTTCGACAAAATATCGGTGGGGAACAACTAGTGAGAGCTGTCTATTCCCTTTACCTGCATGATACTTAGAAGAATTACAGACTACGTTCACTTCCTAGGCAATATTTTCGGAATGAAAAAACAAAGTCCATTCGCAGCCAAAAGATCTACGTGAAAAAGGGGCAGGAAAGAGTACCAGGTGATATGACACTGGAATATAAATCCCCCAAGGAATAGAGGTGGCTTTTTGCTAAATTTCAGCGAGATAAGAGCTAGGCTCAAGTTAGGGCTCTGGCTACGTTTGAGGTTAAGGCATGGACGAAGGTTAGAGTTCGGTTGAAGCTTATGGTTAGGTTTAAATTCAGGTTTAAAGTTTTGGTTAGGGTTCGAACACGAGATTAGTCCCTACTAGCAGAAGGTGCAAGGATAAAACACGGGAATCAGAAGTTCCCCTCAGGAATACATAAGATCTTGTGTTAAATGTTTACTGGTTTAACTATGTCCGTGTTCTTACCCTAACATAAGCGTTACCCAGAAACAAAGGTTAACATCAATGTTAATCATTACCCTGAATCAACCGTAACTATCACTCTATGATTAACCCTGGAGTTTATTGTGTGGTCACGCGTATTACCAGCTTGTCAAAGCCACGAGGGCTATTTTCATAGCCTAGAGGTTTTAATGCAAATACGCTTTAGCCAGGACCGGAAGACTGAATACCCATTTTGAATTCAAACAAGAAGTCAGCGATGTCGGTGAAGTTTACACAAACATAGGGTGTATAGATACTCCTTGATAAATCAAGTTGCAACTGACTGGTCAGCATTTGAAGAGGGAAACAGTTAAGTAACAGACAAGTAAATTATATTATCTAACTTTTTGCAAAATGCAGGCAAGCATAGCGAGAGCAACAACACAGACATGGATAATCTTTTTTATCTTATTTGCCAGCCTCCGTTGTCGGTGTTGGTATGCCTTCCTACATCATGAGAGGCTGTTATGCGACTGCCTGTATAAACTCTATGGATTACTTGCCCGAGAATTCGCGTCGCCAAATCTGCAGCTTTACGAAGTCGCGTAAGTTTTTCATTCCAACATATAGTTCGCGGGTTCAGCAGATGTGATCGGTAGAGTTTTTGTGACTGGCAAGTTACATTTATTATTTGAAGCATTAATTTATTAAGAATAATGATACATAGAGGCGATTTCATAAGCTAAGTTTATAAGTAGTCTATCCGGTAGGGCGGTGTGCATTAACATAATATAGTTTGATTGTGTTATGAAGTAAAAACAGTTTATGTAGCATTTGCTTTCATTAAGTTATCAACATCAGCTGATCGAGTCTACTACATTTCCACGCTTTCAAATACCGTAAAACCAATATTCTACGTACAGTATCTACTTATACCGCATTTAGCGCTATCGGATTTCTAATTTTGCATAAAAAAACGAACATAACGAACAGCTACACTAGCATTTACCTTAAGAGGAGAAAATGGTAGCGTACCGTTTAATGTCTCAGAAGTTGCGCTTACAAGAGTTCGGCATCTCAGGAACACGCGAGCGGCCACATGGTCGTGGACAATTGACATGCATGTATTTACACTACGCATGGTGTTTTACGGTACGTACATCAGAGCAAAATACTGTATATGCTTACTTTAAACTGCACAATGATAAAGGATAGGATAAAATGAAATTAGATTTTTAAAATGAAGTTGAAGTGCTTTGAGGACAGATTAAGTGTTTAACATATGAAAATAGGTATTTATAGGCCTTTGCTATTTGGCCGTCCAAAATTCGCGTATTTTTGAAATGCGCGGGAGTCTAGGAACGTGACCTGCTCTATTTTTGATGAATTACTCTGTTGGATCTTGAAAGCAGTAGGATAGTTATCTTCACTTCATCTGGTCTGTGGACATTTGTAGAACAAATGTTAATGGTAGAAGAGAGATAACTTGATAAATACAGGTATCATAATGGAACTGAAAATTTTATTCCTAGGTGGTAAACCAGAAAAAAGAGGAGCGTTCATCGGGAGGAGAGTTGGAGAAATCGGTCGACAGCTAAAACGCGAATACATTAGCATAAGCTGGCTTTATGAAGGTTGGACTCAAAGTTGCAGGTAGCAACCTATGCTGAAGAGATGGGGCACAACTTCAACGTTGGCGTGGTTTAAATTGTGGGCCGAGGTGATTATCACACATCAAGACATATTAAAGAATCCTGGATGTCGACCGACTGTTCAGTATACCGGCACATACATTCACCGGTCCCCTATGCTGTCTTAAGAACCTTCCTATCAGGGGACAGTCACGGCATGGGACAACCGGGCCGGTAACTAGCTCCATGGCCAACGTGTATATGCCTGAAACAAGCCGGGGCGCGACGGGCGCCGGGGCGGGACATACGCACATGAGGGCCAAACCAAAGCATGCGACACGGGGACAGACAGGGTGAACGAGGAGGCCGAAGGCGAGATGCGAGACAAACAGCAGCTCAACCGTGATTGGCAGAAAACGCACACGGAAGAAGGAGCAGCATACAGACGAGTACTATGGGCCAGAGTGTTCGCTCTCTGAAGATGGGTGCACGAGACGACTACCAGAAACATCAGACTTGCAATAAC